TTGGGAACTGTGATAACGGACCAACTAGATTCAGATAGAGAAATAAAACATAGAATAGCAATGACTAAAACTACTTTTATGAAAATGAAGTCATTTCATTGCAATAATCATCTCAGTTTAGAACTAAGACAAAGAATGGTTAAGTGCTATGTTTGGTCCGTACTTTTGTATAGTGCAGAAGTGTGGACGCTAAAACTATCGATCATAAACAAAATTGAAGCATTGGAAATGTGGGTGAAAACGAATGCTGAAAATACCTTGGACAGCAAGGAAAACTAATGAAGAAGTACGAAGGAGCGTCAACAAAGGTAGAAGAACGCTAAAGACTGTTAAACATCGAAAAATGTCTTATCTGGGACATATAGTAAAGGGAAGTCGAGATAAAATATTAGAACTGATCCTTAAAGGCAAAATAGAGGACCGTAGAGGCTTGGAGAAGAAAACGGGTTTCTTAGAAGAAGAAGAATACAAGTAGATCAAACAGAAATCTCAAAATATCGCAAAAGTCCGCAGTAATGGTTTTTTACCTATCCTGTAAATTTTGGTAGATGTGACTTTGGCGGATTTTGCTTCTATACCCCACATAATGTAACCTATACTGGAATCAAACAGCGAAAGTGAAGGAAGAAGATGAACTGACCAAGGAGATACCCTAAGGACCGAATTAAAATCTCTAGTTGAAACTAAGAGCACAGCTTTCATATATCGTACAAAAATGTGAAGAAGTTTAGCTCAGTCTGGTTAAAAAAAAAGGTTGAAAAATTTTTCGCAGATATGTGAAGCTTTTAAGACATAGGTGGGGGTTACTATATGACGAACAGATAAAAAGTACTCGTATTTTTACCTTACTTTTTTAAATAATAATTTATGGTCGCCATACATAAAATGAAGAATGACTAAAACTACTTTTATGAAAATGAAGTCATTTCTTTGCAATAACCATCTCAGTTTAGAACTAAGGCAAAGAATGGTTAAGTGTTATGTTTGGTCTGTACTTTTGTATAGTGCAGAAGTGTGGACGTTAAAAATATCGATCATGAACAAAATTGAAGCATTGGAAATGTGGGTTCATAGACTAATGCTGAAGATACCTTGGACAGCAAGAAAAACTAATGAAGAAGTACTAAGGAGCGTCAGCAAAGACATAGAACTGCTAAATACTGTTAAACATCGAAAAATGTCTTATCTGGGACATATAGTAAGGGGAAGTCGATATAAAATTTTACAACTGATCCTTAAAGGCAAAATAGAGGGCCGTAGAGGTGTAGGAAGAAAACAAGTTTCTTGGTTAAAAAACATTCGTGAATGGACTCAGATACCAAATGCAGGACAATTATTCCATATTGCAGAAGATCGAGAAGCCTTCGCAATGGTGATCGCCAACGTCGGATAGTTCTGATATGCGAAGAAGAAGAAGATAAATTTTCATATAATGAAAATTTATACTTATATTAAAAAACTTAGACGTGGTATCAAAAGAGGCCTAAGATTTCTTGGATTATACAAAATGAGTTAAAGTCAACACAATTAACATGTATAATTTTGTAGAATAAAACTAAAGTATTGCTAATTACAACATAAATACTAAAAACAAAGTAAATTGGAAACACCAGAGAAAGGCAAACGATTAGTAACAAGTGAAATATTTATACAGGTCTAATTAATTTATATACTGTATGTATCAGTAGTATTTAAATGTTACTTTTTAGAAAAAAAGGTAATAAATATATTATTTAGAGGCAACAAAACGTCCTTAACAAATTTCTTTAGAAATATTTGGATATCTGTATACAGTGCACTTAGGGCACTTTTTTGTCCTGAAGTCGAGAAATCGATCTCGAAGGCGGATGAACCCTACAGAATGGTCAACGGCATAAGGATGCAGAAGGCAACGGGGAACCACTGCATTAAAGACTCATAGAGTACCCCTAGTAGTAATCATCATGGTAGACATGCAAAGGAAAAGTACTGATCATGGACATCGGATACCAAGATCCGGCAGAGAAAGAGAAATAGATAAGTACAAGGCTTTCTCGGTCGTAAACCAGCGAAACCCTTGTAAAAAGAAAAAGACAACCATAAAAATTGCTACATGGAATGTAAGGAGCTTATTTTCTTCGGGAAAATTAGATAACGTCGTGTTGGAAATGGATCGTTTGGGTATAGACATATTAGGCATGAGCGATACACAATGGCCAGGAAACGGCAAATGTCCCACAAATAATCATGGTATGTTTTATTATACCGGAAATGACACCAAAACCCATCGATACGGAGTAGGAGTCAGCATCTCAAAAAAAATGGAAAGATGCTGTAGTAAACTTTACTCCATTCTCAGAGCGCGTGATGTTAATACAATTAAAAGATAAGAAGAACATGATAAACATTATACAAGTATACGCTCCTACAGCAGACAAAGACGAAGAGGATATAGAACAATTCTATAATATCTTAGAAGAGGTGATGAGAACAACAAAGAGACAACACATTAACATAGTAATGGGCGATCTGAACGCCAAGGTAGGCCAGGGTAAAGTTGGAAAAAATGTCGGTGAATATGGCTTAGGTAATAGAAATGAAAGGGGTGATCGTTTAGTTCAGTTTTGTCAAAGCGAAGATTTAATAATAACTAATACATTCTTTAAACTACCCCCAAGGCGACTATATACGTGGACGTCACCTCAACATACACAAGAAAAAGTGGTCAGAAACCAAATAGATTACATATTGGTGACAAAAAGATACCGTAATGCCGTAAAATCTACTAAAACTTTCCCTGGAGCTGATATCGGTTCGGATCATAATCCAGTAGTATCTGTGATAGAAGCTAGACCAAAGAAAATAAGAAAAGCCATCATTCCAGCATTAGACTTAAGCCAGCTTAAAAATGAACATCTACGACAAACAGTGCGAGAAGAAATAAACAGCAGCCTCAGTGTAGCAGAAAGCCAAATCCGCAGAACAGACAACATAGATGAAAAACTTAAGTATATAAATACTATAATAAGAACTACGGGAAAGAAACACCTAACCAAATCTGCAAAGAAACATAAGGTGTGGATGACACCAGACATTCTAGAACTAATGGATGAAAGACGTAAAATGAAGAATAATGCAGAAAAATACAAAGAGGTTGATAAGAACATAAAGCAAAGAATAAGAAATGCCAAAGAATCATGGATTACAGAACAATGTGTAGAAATGGAAAACTATGAAAGAAAGTATGACACGTTCAATATACATAAAAAACTAAGAGAAATTACAGGAACCCAAAGAAGACGTCAAATAAGTTTGCTTAAGAACAAAGATGGAAAGATTATTATAGATTTAACAGAGAAAATTAATAGATGGAGTGCATACATAAGAGAATTATTTGAGGACAACAGAAATAACATTGTTCTGATATATGGCGAAACGGGACCTGAAATTCTAAAATGTGAAGTAGAAATGGCACTTAAAAATTCCAAAACTGGGAAGGCAAATGGACCGGATGAGGTTCCTACCGAATTGCTAAAGCTCTTGAATGATGAATCAATAGGTATAATATTGCACTTATTTAATACAATATACAATACTGGTATTATACCTCAAGAGTGGCTGTTGTCTACATTCGTTACACTGCCAAAGAAATCTAATGCTAAAGAATGTTCAGAACATCGAACAATATCTTTAATGAGCCACCTACTAAAGATATTTCTAAAAATCATCCACAACCGAGTTTATCAAAAGTTGGAGTCAGATATTAGTAATACACAGATAAGGTTCAGAAAAGGGCTTGGTGCTCGAGAAGCTCTCTTCGGTTTGAATGTTCTCACACAAAGATGCCTAGACGTTAATCAGGAGGTACATACGTGTTTTATCGATTTTGAAAAAGCGTTTGACAGAGTACGCCATGATAAGCTTAGAGAGATTCTTGAAAGGAAAGACATAGATAATAAAGATCTGCGAATAATTCTCAATCTATATTGGAATCAGAAAGCTAACATCAAAATAGAAACTGAAACATCACAAGCAATAGAAATACGTAGAGGAGTACGACAGGGTTGCATTTTGTCACCTCTGTTATTTAATGTATATAGTGAAAGCATCTGTCAGGAAGCCCTTTTACAAGCAAACGGAGGAATCGTAATTAATGGAGAGATTGTAAATAATATTCGATACGCGGACGACACTGTACTAGTTGCAAGAACAGTAGAAGAATTACAAAGATTACTTACAGACATAAATATTGCTTGCAACAATTATGGTATAAATATCAATATTAAAAAAACCAAGTATATGGTCTTCAGTAAAAACATGACACAACCAGCGTATATTAGTATAATCGGCACTCAAGTTGAAAAAGTATCAAGTTACAAATACTTGGGAACTTTAATAAACGAAACTGGAGACCAAAACAGTGAAATAAAAAGACGTATCGAAATTGCCAGGGCCACCTTCATAAAGATGAGAAAATTCTTCTGCAACAGAAATATAAGCATCCCTCTACGATTAAGAATGCTGAGAGGCTATGTATTTAACACGCTATTATACGGTGTAGAGGCCTGGACTCTCAAACAGAACAACATGAAAAATATTGAAAGTTTCGAGATGTGGTGCTACCGTCGAATGCTGAAGATTAGTTGGGTTGAAAGAATAACAAACTGTGAAGTAATACGAAGAATAGGAAAAGACCCAGAGATTTTGTTAACGCTAAAGCGAAGAAAACTCGAATATTTTGGTCACCTGATGAGAGGACATAAATACGCATTACTTCAAAATATAATGCAGGGAAAAATAGAAGGAAAACGGAATCCAGGCCGTAGAAGAATGTCATGGTTGCGGAATTTGAGAGAGTGGTTTGGCTGCACCACTAATGAACTCTTTAGGTCAGCCGTAAACAAGGTCATAATAACCTTGATGATTTCCAATCTCCGATAGGAGTGGCACAAAAAGAAGAAGATACAGTGCATACATAATTTTTAAGAAAAACAAAAACGTAACAAACATATTATTCTTACCTCGTAAGTAATTTCCATCTTTGGTGCAGGTGAATGGTACATCTAACAAACAGTCTATATATCTTTTCAATAATCTTGTGTTATGTAGAACATCGTGCAGATTGATGTAGGAGTATTTATGCGTATACGCAGCAGCACAGAAGCCAACGGTTGCGAAGAAGACGAAGATTACAAATTTCTGCATGTTGTCTTATTTGTGACACTACAGCGTAATAAGAAGTAATGTATATTTACACGCTTTTATATATTTAACTAACTTTGAAAACGTTTATTACTCATTGACAAATTAAACTTTTCGTTAAGTGTTTATAAATTATTTCTGGGTAGGCTATAGAACCATTTCTCTTGACTTTCTTTTTTAAAACTTTCTTTTTGTATTATACAATAATAATGCCTTAATTAATATTTCCACTATAGTCATATATTTGACTTGTATTAATGATACAAATTATAAGGTCTCAATTAATGTTTAATATGTTTTTAATATCCTAGATATAAAAATTAAAATATTTAATAGTGTAATTAGATAAAGGAAATTGACGTGTGTTCGGTAAAGTACCCACTATGTAAATATACATGCGGTTTCTAGATTAGAAACTAATTGCTGGACCTAATCTTCTAGCCTTTTCGAAACTTCTCTATCTGGCGCGGTTGCTATACAGTTTCTGATGATCCTTTTTCACCAGAAAACCAATTCATTTATATGTCAGTTTTGCCATTTTTTTGTAAATAATTTAATTTACATTAGGTTGTAAAAATTGATCATATGCATGTATTTTTCTGTATAAACCAATGGTAATGTCGATATCCGTTTTGAACCTACAGCTGCGGTAGCAATCACAAATTAAATTTAATATCTGAAGGATTTTTTATGTTTGGTTATATGTAGGTACTTATTCTTATTATATGTCCTATGTATATTTTCCAACCAGATCTATTTCTTCACGTGCCATCTCCGCTACGAAGGTTGGCTATCATCATGGCAATTTTGACCCTGGAGGCTGCCGCTCGGAACAATTGTATGGAAGTGCAAGCAAACCACTCCCTGAGGTTTCTCAACCATGACATTCTTCTCCTACCTATGCTGCGCCTACCTTCAATCTTTCCTTGCATAATTAGTTGTAACAGTTGATATTTATTCCCACGTGTAATATGTCCCAGGTATTGTAGTTTCCTCATTTTAACACTCAATACGACCTCCTTTTGTTTGTTCATCCTGTCTAATACAACTTGGTTAGTTATCTTATCCTTCCAGGAGATTTTTAACATTCTTCGGTACGCCCACATCTCAAATGCCTCCAGCTTACCCATACATTGCTTATTTAGTGTCCACGCCTCCACCCCATATAACAGGACCGAGAAAACATAACATTTAAGCATTCGTATTTTCAGCTTTAGGCTTAGGTTTCGGCTACACAACATTTGTTTCATGTTGTTAAAGGCACTGCGGGCTTTCTCTATTCTTATTCTTATTTCTCTGGTGTATTCGTTTGACTCGTTAATATTTGTTCCGAGGTAATTGTAATTTTGTACTCGTTCAATGAGATTCTGTCCTACATGTAAGTTGATATTATTGATACGTTTCTTTGTAATTATCATGAATTTGGTCTTCTTTGTATTCAGTGACAGACCAAATTCTTCACTTGCTTCTACCACTTTGTTTAGTAATCTCTGTAGGTCGTCAATATTTTCTGCTATGAGCGCGGTATCATCAGCATATCGGATATTGCAAATGGGGTGACCGTTGATCTTTACTCCGGCTTTTTCGTTCATAAGAGCTTTTTTAATAACTTCTTCCGCGTAGACATTGAACAAGGTTGGAGACAACACACAGCCCTGCCGAACACCTCTTTTGATCTGTATTCTATCTGATATCGAGCTGTTAATTCGTACTGTAGCTTCTTGTTTGTAGTATAGATTCCTTATCACTCGCATGTCCCTTGTATCAATATTTTTATTTTCCAGTATTTGCATCAGTGGCCTATGTTTTACTGTATCAAATGCTTTGTTATAGTCTAGGAAACACACAAATATGTCCTGATTTACGTCTAAGCATCGTTGTGTTAGAACATTAAAAGCAAACAGTGCCTCTCTAGTTCCTAGTCCGTCTCTAAAGCCAAATTGAGAGGGTCCGATGTCAACTTCCAATTTTTTATATATTCTCCGATGAATGATTTTTAAGAAGACCTTTAATATATGACACATGAGACTGATGGTGCGATGTTCCGAGCATTGTCTCGCATTAGACTTTTTGGGTATGGCTATTATTGTTGTTACTAGCCATTCATTAGGTATGATACCAGATTTGTAAATGCTGTTAAATAGTTCCACGATCTTTATTAAGTTGTTGCCTTTGATGAGTTTAATTATGTCTATTGGTAGTTCATCTGGGCCTGTAGCCTTCCCCGACCTCATTTCTTTAATCGTGTATTCCACTTCATCTCTTGTTATTTCTGGTCCTGTGTCACTGTTTATGTATTCGTTATCTACATTGTCTCTTTGATCTTTAAACAGTTGTTCTATGTACTGTTTCCAGACTCTTAATTTTTCTTCTGTGTCCATAATAATGTTTCCACTCTCGTCTACTAATATGTTGTGTCTGTTACTTTGTCTCCTCGTCAACTCTTTGATCTTCCGATGTGCATTAAAGCTGTCGTGTTTATTTTGTAGTTGTTCGATTTCTTCGCATTTTTCCCCGTACCAGTTTTCTTTAGCTGTGCGTATTTTTAGACGAATTTCTTTTTGTATCTCTTTATACTTCTGGTTCTTTTTGTTTTTCTGTTTTCTTCTTTCATCCATTAAGTTCAGTATCTCATCTGTCATCCATTCTTTTTTATATTCTTTACTTTTATGGAGGTGACTTATGCTTGGTTTCATTAACGCTGTTTTAATGTCTGTCCAATTCTCATTGATGTTAACTTTTGTGTTGTCTTTTATGGGTTGTATCTTTGTTACTGCTTCATCAATTTCTTGTATCATCTGTTCTCTTACTTCTGGTTTTCGTAATTTGTTGATATCAACTGCTTTTTTGGGGGTTGTGCTATTAATTTTCTTTAGTTTTATTTTCATTCTTGCAACTAGTGGATTATGATTAGATGATATATCTGCACCAGGGTATGTCTTAATTGACATTATGCTGTTTCTGTATCTTTCATTGATTAGTAGATAGTCTATTTGGTTTCTCACTATGTGATGTTCTGTGTCTTGTGGAGATCTCCATGTGTATAAACGTCTGTTGGGTAGTTCGAAAAAGGTATTTGTAATTACCATTCTGTTTTCCTGGCAAAATTGTACCAGTCTTTCACCAGACTCGTTCCTATTCCCTAATCCAAAATTTCCTACCAAATCATCTGTCCTTCCTTTCCCAACTTTAGCATTCAAATCTCCCATTATTATTGTGATGTCCCTTTTTTGGTCAGTTTCAATGCCGAGTCAATTTGTTCATAAAATGTTTCTATTTCATGTTCTTCTTTGTCCGCTGTTGGTGCGTATACTTGTATTATATTCATTTTTGTGATGTTTGTATTTATTTGTAACATCATAACACGATCGGACAAAGGTAGGAAGTTCAGGACATGACGAGATAGAGACTTTTTTAACATTATACCCACTCCATTACGATGTTGGGGATCTTGGTTACCGGAGTAGTAGATTATGTGATCTTTAATATGACTGCATCCATTTCCCGACCATCGGGTTTCGCTTATACCCAAAATGCTAATAAAATCCACAAGGAAAAATTCCTGTAGCTGGCTGTATACGTATAACAAAAAGAGGTTAATCTTTGTAAATGGGTATATTTATTTAAAAAACCCTTAAAAGGGCCACATCAATAAAACAAACGTTTTCGGACCACACAGTCCATCATCAGGTTATTAAAATCGAAAATGCCTAAAAATAAGTATAAACCATTTAGTTAAAACAAACGAGATTTTGAAATTTTGACTATGGTTGAAAAGCAAAAGATGGTTATACTTACTAGGTCATAATGCCTGAGCCACCAAAATATTAGGGTAAAAACCCTTTAAATTACATTTAGTTATGAAATGTTGTACATTGTGTTATAAAATAACTGTGATGTTCAATATTAAATTAAATTTGACTAAAGGTAACACATGGCTCAATTGGGTTCCAGAGCCGGGTGAGAGGGTACCTCTGCACTCGGAGAACAACGTGGAACTGATTGACAAGATACTTTTGAAGGATGAAGATAACAGAATGTCAATGCAACAAAAACTATAAAAGTTGTACATAGTATTACTACAGCCAAAAGATTCAACAAGTTTTGATGATTTTAAAAATAACAACAATCTAGGTGTTGGGATTTAAAAACTTTTTATTTATTAATTTAGGGTATAAAAGATGTCAAATCAATGATGGTTTTATAGTCATGATTAATATAATGACCTGTGCCTTAGGCAACTTATGTTGCTTTTCGTCGTATGGAATGTGGTCTAAAGTGTATTTAATTTTGGGTTAGCTTGTATTTATGAAATTTATCCTTTTATGTTTAACACATCTAGGACAAGGTAAAAATTAAATAACAAATATTTGAAGCTAATATCAGACCTCATATTTAAATGACTTTATTTAAGAATGCTCCTATGGTGAAAAATTAATAAAATTAAGTTTAGTAAGATGGAAATCTACAGGCTGAAGAAGTTGAAGTAATAACATATGTGATTGAATTTAAAATTGAAGAGACTGGGTTCCTCAGAGACTAATGAGAATGAAAGTAAAAGAAATGACCGAAGAAAAGGAGGGGGGGGTTGAAGGAGAAAAGGAGTTGATCAACAATTAGAGATAATAGGGGTCCTTTATACTTAAAGTATCTAGCACCCTGAACAAAATCTATTTAGGTGGTATTAAATTCAGTTTGTAGAAACCTGAAATTTGTTGTATAAGTGTGCTACTAAGTTGTTGACCGAAAAAAGGTGGACAAAGGTAGATTAGGATTCTTTGTAATATGGTAGATTATGAATTTTAATAAATTGTTAGATAATGTTTGAGTGATTACTAAATTAAAACTATTGGATACATGTTTAATATATGAATTGACCAAGAAATAATGAAAGAGAACAAAATTAACAGGAAAACGATGTAGAAGTGAAGAGTGGATAAGATAGTGAAATGTTGGTATGATGGATGTGGATGGTTCTGAAGTTAAAATTGGGGTCAGAAATT